AAGAAGGTTAAACTTGCTATTGTTGAGTTTTCTGACTATGCTGCTATTTGGTGGAAAAAGCTTGCTATGTACAGATTGCAAGAAGGACAAGCACAAATTGCTACTTGGGCTGAGATGAAAAGGGTGATGAGAAAGTGATTCATACCATCATACTTTCAAAGAGAGCTACAACAACGCCTTCAAACATTGAATCAAGTATCCATGTCTGTGGATGAGTACTTTAAGGCTATGGATATGGCTATGATCCAAGCTAATTGTATGGAGGAAGAAGAGGCTACAATGGCTAAGTTTTTAAATGGGTTAAATAAGGAAATAGCCTGATGTAGTAGAATTACAACAATATGTAACAATAGATGAGTTAGTTGATTTGTCTGTAAAGGTAGAAAATTAAAATAAAAGAAAGCAAACTAGCTCATGGAAAGGTCGGTCAAACACCATCTCCAAGAAGCCATGGTCGAATCAAGAGATCTTCTAGATCTCAAGAAGACAAGGATAAAGGTAAATTTGAGAACAAAGAGGGAAGTAAATCCTTTAACCCTAAACCTTTTACACCTTCTAGTTCTATTCAGTGTCATAAATGTAAAGGAAGGGGACATATGATGCATGAATGTCCAAGTAGAAGAAACATCATTCTTAGAGAAGATGGAGGATATGAGAGTGAAAAAAGTGAGGGAGAAGAAGAGGGAGATGTGAGTAATGGTGATGATATAGAACTACCTAATGATGGCATGATTGGGGAAGTTAGGAGGATTATGAGTATCAATTTGGGAAGCAATAGTGAAGAACAAAGGGAGAATATATTCCATACTAGGTATAGGATAAAGGGAAAAACTTGTTCTATGATCATTGATAGTGGTAGTTGTGCTAATGTGGTGAGTTCATACTTTGTGGAAAAATTGGGACTTGCATGCATGAAACACCCTACTCCCTATAGACTCCAATGGTTAAATGATAGTGGTGAACTAAAGGTAAACAAACAATGCATGATTTCATTCAATGTTGGTAGATATGAGGATGATATTCTTTGTGACATAGTCCCTATGCAAGCTTGTCATATCTTACTGGGTCGTCCTTGACAGTATGATAGGAATGTTTTTCATGATGGAAGGAAGAATAGATATTCTCTTGAGTTAAATGGCAGAAAATTTACTCTTGCACATTTATCTCCTTCTCAAGTGTTTGAAGATCAAAAGAGATTAAGGAAAATAATGGGAAAACCAAGGGGAGGGATAAAAAGTGAGCTTGAGGAATAAAAAAAAAGAAAGGAGGCCAAGAGTTAGAAAAGAAGAGAGATGGCCGAGAGAAAGAGAGAGAGGGCAACAATTTGAGAGAAGAGATAAAAAGGGGCTTGAATGAAAAAATAGAAAGTCTTGGTGAGAGGAAAGAGGCTAAGGAAATAAAAAAAATAAAGTTTTTATATAAAAACCAAAGAGTGTTTAAATGCAAGAAAAGAGTGGTTGCACATAATACTACTTACTTACAAAGAAGCTTTGATTAATTCTGAGTTACTAACTTCTTCTTTGCCAAGTAGTATTTCTTCTCTTTTGCAGGATTTTGAAGATGTCTTTCCTGAAGATATTCCTAATGGATTGCCACCTTTACGTGGCATTGAGCATCAAATTGATTTCGTGCCTGGATCACAAATCCCAAATAGGCCTGCTTATAGGAGTAATCCAGAAGAGACAAAAGAGCTTCAAAGGCAAGTTGAGGAGCTGCTTGAGAAAGGCTTTGTGAGAGAGAGCATGAGCCCTTGCTCTGTTCCCGTCCTATTGGTACCCAAAAAGGATGGAACTTGGAGGATGTGCGTGGATTGTAGAGCAATCAACAAGATAACGGTAAAGTATCGCCATCCTATTCCTCGTCTTGATGACATGTTGGATCAATTACATGGATCCAAAATCTTTTCTAAAATTGATCTAAAAAGTGGTTACCATCAGATTCGAATGAATCCTGGAGATGAATGGAAAACTGCTTTTAAGACCAAATATGGGCTTTATGAGTGGTTAGTTATGCCTTTTGGCTTGACTAATGCACCTAGCACTTTCATGAGATTAATGAATCATATCTTTAAGGATTTTCATGGAAAATTTGTTGTGGTGTACTTCGATGATATCTTGATCTTTTCTAACACTTTAGAAGAGCATGTAGAACACCTAAAACAAGTTTTTGAAGTTCTTAGAAAGCAACTCTTATTTGCTAATCTTAAAAAGTGTACTTTTTTATGGATCATGTGATTTTTTTGGGTTTTGTGGTTAGTTCTAAAGGAGTTGAGGTTGATGAAGAGAAAATTAAAGCAATAAAAGAATGGCCAAAGCCTAAGAGTGTAACTGAAGTTAGGAGTTTTCATGGACTTGCTAGTTTTTATAGGAGGTTTGTGAGATACTTTAGCACCATTGCTTCTCCTTTAACTTAAGTTATTAAAAAGGATGAGATTTTTACATGGGAAAAAGAACAAGATGCTGCTTTTAACTTGTTGAAAGAAAAGTTATGTTCTGCTCTNGAGACAAAAGAGCTTCAAAGGCAAGTTGAGGAGCTGCTTGAGAAAGGCTTTGTGAGAGAGAGCACGAGCCCTTGCTCTGTTCCCGTCCCATTGGTACCCAAAAAGGATGGAACTTGGAGGATGTGCGTGGATTGTAGAGCAATCAACAAGATAACGGTAAAGTATCGCCATCTTATTCCTCGTCTTGATGATATGTTGGATCAATTACATGGATCCAAAATCTTTTCTAAAATTGATCTAAAAAGTGGTTACCATCAGATTCGAATGAATCCTGGAGATGAATGGAAAACTGCTTTTAAGACCAAATATGGGCTTTATGAGTGGTTAGTTATGCCTTTTGGCTTGACTAATGCACCTAGCACTTTCATGAGATTAATGAATCATATCTTTAAGGATTTTCATGGAAAATTTGTTGTGGTGTACTTCGATGATATCTTGATCTTTTCTAACACTTTAGAAGAGCATGTAGAACACCTAAAACAAGTTTTTGAAGTTCTTAGAAAGCAACTCTTATTTGCTAATCTTAAAAAGTGTACTTTTTGTGTGGATCGTGTGATTTTTTTGGGTTTTGTGGTTAGTTCTAAAGGAGTTGAGGTTGATGAAGAGAAAATTAAAGCAATAAAAGAATGGCCAAAACCTAAGAGTGTAACTGAAGTTAGGAGTTTTCATGGACTTGCTAGTTTTTATAGGAGGTTTGTGAGAGACTTTAGCACCATTGCTTCTCCTTTAACTGAAGTTATTAAAAAGGATAAGATTTTTACATGGGGAAAAGAACAAGATGATGCTTTTAACTTGTTGAAAGAAAAGTTATGTTCTGCTCCATTGTTACAATTGCCTAATTTTTCTAAATCTTTTGAAATTGAATGTGATGCTTCTGGCAAAGGAATAGGTGCTGTTTTGATGCAAGATTCTAAACCTATTGCCTACTTTAGTGAGAAGTTGAGTGGAGCCACATTGAACTATTCCACTTATGACAAAGAGCTATATGCTTTGGTAAGGGCTTTAGCCACATGGCAACATTACTTGTGGCCAAGAGAGTTTGTCATTAAAACTGACCATGAATCCTTGAAATACTTGAAGAGTCAAGGTAAGCTTAGTAGAAGGCATGCTAAGTGGGTTGAATTCATTGAAACTTTTTCTTATGTAATTTCTTACAAACAAGGGAAAGAGAATGTTGTTGCGGATGCACTTTCAAGAAGGTATGTCTTAGTTTCTACCCTGACTTCTAAATTGATGGGTTTTGATCAAATCAAGGGACTTTATGCTAATGATGTTGATTTTGGCAAGATTTTTGCAGATTGTAAGTTGGGTCCTTTTGAGAGGTTTAACCTCCAAGATGGGTTTTTCTTTAAGGAAAATAAGTTGTGTATCCCTAATTACTCTTTACGTAAAGTATTTGTAAGGGAAGCACATTGTGGAGGGCTTATGGGTCACTTTGGAGTTCCAAAGACACTAGACATACTTGCTGAAATTATTTTTTGGCCTGGAATGAGAAAAGATGTTGAAAGAATGTGTGCACAGTGTTTGGAATGTAAACAAGCTAAATCTAAAGTGTTACCACATGGTCTTTACACGCCACTACCTGTTCCTACTTCACCTTGGATTGATATTTCTATGGATTTTGTGTTAGGTTTGCCTAGAACAAGGTATGGTAAGGATAGTATATATGTTGTGGTAGATAGGTTCTCCAAAATGGCTCGTTTTATTCCTTGTTTAAAGACTAATGATGCTTCACATGTTGCTGATCTTTTTGTAAAAGAAGTTGTCAAATTGCATGGTATACCTAGAACTATTGTTAGTGATAGGGATGTTAAGTTTTTGAGCCACTTTTGGCGTGTATTTTGAGGAAGTTAGGCACTAAATTATTGTTTTCTACTTCTTGTCATCCACAAACTGATGGACAAACTGAAGTAGTTAATAGAACCTTAGAAAACCTGTTGAGGGATGTTTTGAAAGGTAAATTAACTTCTTGGGAAGCTCACTTACCTGTGATTGAATTTGCTTACAATAGAACAATCCATTCTTCTACAGGTATGTCACCTTTTGAGGTTGTTTATGATTTTAATCCCTTTACTCCCCTTGATTTATTACCATTATCTACTAATGATATTGTTAATCTTGATGGTAGGACAAAGGCTGAGATGATGAAAAAAAATCATAAACAAACAAGGCTTGCAATTGAGAAGAAAAATGAGCAAACTGCCTTGAGAAAAAATAAGGGTAAAAAATAAGTTATATTTAAACCTGGAGATTTAGTTTGGGTCCACTTTAGAAAGGAGAGATTTTCCTCCAAAAGGAAGTCAAAGTTGCATCCTAGAGGAGATAGCCCATTTCAAGTCCTTGAAAGGATTGGAGACAATGCTTACAAGCTGGACCTACCTGGTGAGTTCTAAGTAAGTGCTACATTCAATATTGCTGACTTGTCTTTGTTTGATGTAGGATTGAATTCGGGGACGCATTCTCTTCAAGAAGAGGGGAATGATAGAATCAAGGACAAGGATAGAGTTTTGGAAGCTCCAAGGCCATTTACAAGATCTCAAGCCAAAGAGTTGCACTCTAAGGTTGCTGGACTTCAATGGCAAATAAAAAAGCTTTTAATTGTAGAGGAAGAGCTCAAGCCCAAAGTAGATGAATTATCCAAGTTTTACAATTATTTAGTGATCCAAATTGAAGTCCAAGAGGAGGAAGATTGGGCCACCAAATCAGCCCTTGAAGTCCACCAAAGGGGCTCAAAATGAGCTTAAAAGATATCCAAAAGGGGGTGTTTCAAAAGGAGCCCAATTGGAGTCCAAATCAATGACCCAAACTAGTAGTTTTAAGGTCCAAATCTGCCGCAAAGGGATTTGGCCGCCCCCCTCCCCCCCACCTAATTGTAATGACTTTTTATGCCTTAGCAACCACCCTACCTAATTTTAAGGACTTTTTGTGCCTTTGTACTCCTATAAATAAGGAGTTATTCTCATTCATTGAGAGACTTAATTATTGATTAAGTATATTATACTTTGAGAGTTCTTTTGAACCTTTGTTACTTATGCTTTGAGATTTATCTTTTAACCTTTACTAGTTCATAGTTCAAGGTAGTAAGATTACTTCTCTATTGTGATATCTTTGATTCCTTTGTGGTATTCTTAGAAGGCAATTAATACTAGTTATTAATTGTTATCTCAAGTTACTCGTAAAGCGGTCAAGATCTGAATTTATTGTTTTGATTTGCTTTTAAGTAAAGGCGTTTGATTTCTTCAATAAATCAAGACGTTGTTGCTTTGATCTTGTCAAGGCTATAGAACTTGCATTCTTGGAAGTTCTTGGAATTCTTTCCTTGAATTTTCCCATATCCTTTATTTTCTGCCCTTTAGTTCTAGTTGTTCAATTTCCTTATTGTTATTGCTTCCGCATTTACTTTTCAAATTCTTACTCTAGTTTGGATTCCCGACCTTATCGTTATCATTATTAGACCTAATGTATCACCTTGGGGTGCGCCAGTGCTATTTGTGAAAAATAAAGATGGTTCTTTGAGGATGTGTATTAACTACAGGCAACTTAACAAAGTGACCATCAAGAATAGGTACCCAATACCTTGGATAGACGACTTGTTTGACCAGTTGCAAGGGGCGAAGTGCTTCTCAAAGATTGATTTAAGGTTGGGGTATCATCAATTGAAAATTTGAGAGAAGGATATTCCCAAAACAGCTTTTCGGACCCGCTACAAACATTATAAATTTTTCGTGATGTCATTTAGGTTAACTAATGCACCCGCAGCCTTTATGGATCTAATGAATCTGGTTTTCAAACCATTTCTTGACAGGTTCGTAATTATTTTCATTGATGGCATATTAGTCTATTTGCAGAGTCAAGAGGAGCATGCCAATCATTTGAGAATAGTGTTGCAGACGCTTTCCGAGAATGAGTTATATGTTAAATTCTCTAAGTGTGAATTTTGGCTCGAATCCGTGGCATTCTTGGGTCATGTGGTATCTCGCGAAGGTATTAAGGTTGATCCTCAAAAGACTGAAGCGGTTAAGAGTTGGCCTCGACCAACTACACCAACAGAGATCAGCAGTTTCTTGGGATTAGCAGGCTACTATCGGCGGTTTGTTGAAGGATTTTCTACTCTTGCATCTCCGTTAACCAAGAAGTTTCAGTGGTGGGATGCTTGTGAGAGAAGTTTTCAAGAGTTGAAGGCTAGTTTGAGTACGACGTCTGTGTTGACATTGCCAGCAGGTTTGGGTGACTTTGTGGTTTACTATGATGCCTCTAGAGTTGGGTTGGGTTGTGTCTTGATGCAGAAATGTAAGGTTATTGTTTATGCTTCTAGAAGTTGAAGATCCATGAGAAAAACTATCCGACCCATGACTTGGAAATTATCGCGGTTGTTTTTGCTTTGAAAATCCGGTGGCATTACTTGTACGGTGAGCACTGTGAAGTATACACCGACCATAAAAGCTTGCAATATATATTCAAGCAGAGGGAATTAAACTTGAGGCAAAGGAGATGGTTAGAACTATTGAACGATTATGATTTAAGCATTCATTACCATCCGGGAAAGGTGAATGTGGTAGCCGACGCGCTAAGCCGAAAGTCAGGAGGTACCTTGGCACATTTACCAATAAGTAAAGAGCTTGCCGCTTGTGCCATAGCATGTTCCTCTCTTATTGAGCGTGTTAAGGCTAAGCAATTTGAAGATCCAAATTTAGTGAATATTCAAAATGGTGTACAATCTAAAAACATCCTTGCTTTTTCTCTCGAAGAGGATGAGGTGTTGAAGATGTACGGTCGCTTGTGCATGCCAGATGTCGATGGGCTTCGTAATGAAATTATGGCTGAGGCACACAACTCAAGATATTCCATATATCCAGGGTCCACAAAAATGTACAAGGACTTGCGGGAGATTTATTGGTGGAATCGAATGAAGGAAAACATTTCAGACTTCGTGGCTAGATGTTTAAATTCCCAGCAAGTAAAGGCTGAGCATCAAAGACCTGGAGGGTTGACTCAGAATATTGAGATTCCACTTTGGAAGTGGGAGATGATTAATATGGACTTTGTTGTGGGTTTGCCTCGTACTCGCTTGAATCATGACTCTATTTGGGTGATTGTAGACCGACTTACAAAGTCGGCACATTTCTTACCGGTAAAGATGACTGGCACGGCACCACAGTATGCTAAGTTGTACTTGAAAGAAATTGTCAGACTTCATGGTATACCAGTTTCCATTATATCTTATAGAGGGGCCCAGTTTACTGCTCATTTTTGGCAGTCCTTTCAAGAAGGATTGGGTACAAGTGTCAATTTGAGTACCGCTTTTCATCCACAGACTGACGGGCAGGCTGAGAGGACTATTCAGACGCTTGAGGACATATTGCGAGCTTGTGTCCTTGATTTTGGTGGGAATTGGGATGAACACTTACCTCTGATTGAATTTGCCTACAATAATAGCTATCATGCTAGTATCCAGATGGCTCCCTATGAGGCTTTGTACGGACAACGTTGTAGATCACCTATTGGATGGTTTGATCCGACTGAGGTAGGACTACTTGGTCCCGATCTTGTACATGATGCCTTGGAGAAGGTGGCTTTGATTCAACAACGACTTAAGACCGCTCAAAGCTGACAAAAAAGCTATACAGATGTACATCGACGTAAGTTGGAGTTTAAAGAGGGTGGTCAGGTGTTCTTAAAGGTATCGCCAATGAAGGGCGTTATGAGATTCGGGAAGAAGGGCAAGCTAGGTCCTAGATTTATTGGTCCATATCAAATCTTGAAAAGGATTGGGGAGGTGGCCTACAAGCTGGAGTTACCTGCATCAATGACTTTGGTTCATCCTGTTTTTCATGTATCGATGCTACGGGGGTATGTGCAATCCTACTCACATCATCTCACCGGATGTAGTAGAAATAAATGATGGATTAACTTATGACGAAGAACCGGTTGTGATTCTTGATAGGCAAGTCCGTATGTTGAGGACTAAGGACATAGCTTCAGTTAAAGTGTTATGGCGTAATCATGACGGCGAGGAGGCTACTTGGGAGGCCGAAGAAGATATGAAGATTCGATATCCACACTTATTCGCGACTTCAGGTATGACTACTTTTTGAAATTCTGAGTTTAGAGTTATCATAATATACTTCCATCGGACAAGTGATTTATTGGTTCATCTATTGCACATGATTATTAGACATATATTATGGTAATAAATTTTATTGTTGTGATGCCGGGAGAGGCTATGTAATGGTAGCTGGAGACATATGAAGTCATGAAGGCATTTATTGATGTAGTTATGATGAGTAGATCCATGTAGGGCCTTGTATATTGTACTAGTGTGGCTCGTTGTCAGGTTAAAAAATTTTGGATAGGCCTATAAATAAAGAAAACTCTAGCAAAATTTTTAGAAATTTGGAGAGTTAGTCAAATTTCAAAGCTTTAAGAATTGGGAAGTAGGGAAAATCTTGGAGATGCTTGGAGATCATGCTTTTTGGACTTTAACATGACCGAGGAATTACATTCGAGGACGGATGTTTCTAAGTAGGGGAGAATATAAAGCCCCGTGAATTTCTATAATTAATCAGACTAATTTTGAGTTTGAGAATGCAGTGTAATTAAACTCGAGATACATGGTTATACGAATGGAACGAAGTCATGGGAGCACTTGTAATTAACTTTGGTATAGCTTGGAATTAAATATATTTCCATGGAATAAGTATTTAAATTGATTAAGAGTATTTATTTTAGTAATAATTAAAATTATTTAGTAAGAAAGAAAAAGGGAGAATCTGGGAAATAGGAACCATGTGACTAAGCTAAGTCATTTGAAGAATTCGATAGATTTTGAAACAGACATTGGATTA